CTATATGAACAAAAGTGCAATAACATTTGGTTTGCAAACACTTTAAACAAATAAGGTGCTTTTTTTACAGCAGTATTCAGCAGTTAAAATATTTATTGTAAATCTCAACTTAAACATTAATGTAATCAAATTAAATATAAAACCAAAGCTATTTGCCACAGCCAGGGCATTAGTTTTTATAGAAAATATTTGACAGTTTGTTATAGAAAAGCAAGGTATGCTCAGAGTCCAGAGCCTCGATCATAACATTATAACAGGCTCCTTCCGAGTAGAGACCTGCACTATCATGGGACAACACTTGATGGGCGAGTGCGGGTGCGGGCGAGTATATACTCGTGTGTGCGGGATAGGGGAGAATAAGGGTGTACTCGCACTAGGCAATCTTAACCGAGCCCGAGTGCGTTTGACCCCCAAAGCCCGGTTCGTTTGACTAGTGTGATCGCTCCGTGCCATTCTCGGGCTCGGTTCAATTAGGGCCAGAGGTGGCCCAGAGCGAGGTTCAGTTGGGCTCGGGCGCGGTATGCATGTAGTGTGAGTAACGCGTTAACTTGCCCAGCCCTAATTATAATGTACTACCTTATAATACCAAACTTATTTAACAATAGAACTGTTAATAAAAATAATAATTCCAGCAAGTATGTTAAATGTTTTGTTAAATATGTATTAAAATACTTTATTATTTATTTATTTAGAAGAAGAATTATATCATACCAAACGTATTTGTATTAAATGTTAATATACAACATTTATTATTAATACTGTTTTATTATTATTATTACAACAACAATCCTTTCAGGAAGCAATACAAGTTAATACTTGTCTTAAATGTATGCTAAATATGTATTATTATAACTACTACTACTACTTGTTGTTGTTGTAGTTTTTTAGATTATTTTTATTAAACAATAAGAAATGTCATCTGCCATATTATTGATTTTGTGTAAAAAAACAGTAAAACACTTATTACAGTGTTTTTACCACAGTTAAGTTGTAGTGTTTGGCACATTATGAAGTAGATTTGTGGTTTCTTGCTAAAACTAATGGGATATTGCTACCCCACTCTCCTCTTCCTCTCTTTCTCTCTCTTTTAATCCCTCTATATCTATTTTTCTTCTTTCAGTTGGAGTTTTCTCCTCAAACTCTGTGCTGCTATGGCAAACAGCTGTGTACCATCCCTCGAGACGCTGCGTACTTCAGTTACCAGAACAGGTCAGTATTATACACACTATATCCACTCTACACACAGTCACTCGCACCCATAGCTTAATACTGTGCAGTACAGCCATTAAAATTCAGAGTTATCAGTCGTATAAGAGTAAGAATAACCACTTGAAAGTTCAAAGAGACTTAAATTGAGTCTATATTATGCATACAAACAGAAGCAAGCTATTATATTCATACGAATAGTTATATCATAGTGAATGTGGCCTGATGGGTAATTGCCTGACCCCATCAGGCATGTTGTCACACTATGGTAGATCATTTGCATTTCAGCCTAAAATCAATTTAATGTTGCCTGGCAGCATTTAAAGCTCTGCTGTGAAGCGGGCCCAGTGCTAGAATGAAGTATTATGAAAGCTGTTTGTTTTCTGAACACTTTAATAGACACTAGGCTACTCCACTACATCTGCCACATTTAGATTTGGTTTACATTGTGTATTTGTATGTAAAAAGATTGAGGTGAGTATTTTTAAGAGTTCTGTTTTCATGTTCTATGTAAAAATGTAAATGCTGTTCTGCTGTGAGCACATATTTCCCACATCAGGGTGTTGTTGAATTTCAGGCCTGTTGATTTGACTTTCGGTGGCAAAATAGACCACATTTCACTTCTCTGCTCTTTTTCTGATTTTAAACGGCCATTTTAAAGAGGGTCTGCATTTTTGACTCCGGTTGTGTTTTGACGTTTTGTTGGTGTACTTACAATTAACAGGTGTGTTGGCAAGTATTTGTGTTGATTACCTCAGTTGGTAGCTGCAAGCACAAAATAACAAAGTGCTAATAAGGAAGCAAAACGATTGCAGTGCTCTTCCTCTAATGCGTTAGTGAAAATCACTGCCAGTTTTCTGAGTTACATCATCCTAGATCCTAACAGCAAAACTCTTATTCGCATAGGATGGCAAAGACTTTCACCAGAATCAGAGGTTTCGGCGTGCAAAGCTTAAGTTTTTGTATAACTTTGGCAACCTTAGACTTAAGCTGAACCTTACTTTCGTTATATAAAAAGGCTACATAAAACATGTCAAGTCACAATATAACAACACTTGTTATAATAATAATATTAGTATTAACATGTATTAAAAAAAAAGATTATGACAACACATGGTAATAAAATATAAGCCCACGTGAAAACAGCCATATGTAATGCATGTTATATATTGTTGTTGTTATATATTTTTTTATTATTATGTTGTGATGCCTTTAAGCTGCATTTAAATAAAGAATTTTGTAAAATGATAATGTCAGATATCAGTGGTCCTTCATTTGCTTTATGCAAGGAACATTATTTTTGGGGTAAAATATGACCTGGATATGTTTTATGAGATTCACCCAAAATGTACTGACTAAAAGTACAGTATTTCAAAATCGGCTAAGACTTCATTCATGCTGCCAACTACAGGGCGTACTAACTGTTTATCTGTCACACGTTGTTTTAGTAGCGAATCTTGGGACCCTCTTTAAAATGTCCTGAAAGGATGATGGGTCTCTGTTGCTCCTGTTCTCATTCTTCTCTTCAGTTCGTTCACTCAGTCCATTGTTGTCCCTCGCTCCTCTGGGCGTCACGGTTGTTTTAGAGCTCAGCGGATGCGAGGGATACCGTATGTGCTTTTGCCTCAGCTTCCTGCTCTCTCTTTTGGTTTAATTTTCTTCTTCTAGATCTGACCTACCCCTCCACCTGTTCAACACGTAGCTCTTTGTCCCTCATAACAGTTTTGTTTCTCACACTTTTTTAAAATATTCATTCTGCCCCCCCCCCCCTTCCCTTTCTCTCCCTCCTTTTTTAACACTTGTGATGTCTGCATTGGCCTGCTTTGATGTGACCAATCATCCGCTCTGAAATTTACACGCAACCAATCAATCAATCTGCCCACACAAAAAACCTGCTTCATGATTGGCTGCTCCCGGCGACGAACCTGCCTTCTCCTGTGTGCCTGTCTCCTGGCCTGCCCTGCCCTGATTGGTGGCTGCTTCCACGTGCCCTCACTGTGATTGGCTGTGCTCTTGATGAACGGTCTAGTTCACCCAAATATGGGCTTCTTGCTGACAGGTACCACTTCTGTGAGAAGTGTTTCAACGAAATCCAGGGGGAGAATGTATCCCTGGGGGACGATCCAACCCAGCCTCAAACGTGAGTAACCGTATAAATGTTTGTGTTTTGATCTTCTCCTTCATTGTTATTGTCGTGATGCTATTCCTCCGGAGAGCGTTCGTTCAGTGATTCTCATGACCCACTCGATTGGGCGGCTTCCTCTTCTCTGTCTCTCGTTTTCTCTCCTCAGGTCCATCAATAAAGATCAGTTTCAAAGGAAAAAGAATGACACCCTCGACCCTGAACTGTATGTTTCACATTTAACTTTTCTCCCTCCAAATGTGTCATCTCGGTTCGCTTGTTCTGAAGTTTTAATCAAGGTGCTGATTTGTTGTCATCGTCTGACCTTTGTTTTCTGTTCTTTCTCCTCAGACTATTGGAATGTGGTGATTGTGGTCGAAAAATGCATCAGATATGCGCTCTGCACAATGAGACGATATGGCCGTCGGGGTGAGCTACTTTTATTTGAGCACACTTTTATGTGACACATTCTACTGCAAAATAGGGCTTAAAAAATGGAGTGTTAGTGAATGTAAGGTTTTTCCTGTTAAATACAATCCTGATTCATGCATTTAAAGCAATAAAATAAACAAAATAACATTGTATAAATGTTATTTATAGTTCTTGATAAATATATTTCCCCTT